AGAGTGCGACGGAAAAATAAGTGGCACTCTCGTTTAGTCCTATTTAGGATAATTACTTGTTAAAATACCTTATCAGTGGCTCTCCATGGTATCGGCATCATGAACAACAACATTAGATTGATGTCAAACAAGGACAATTAAAATAAGGAAGGAAAGACGGTTCTTTATCTGGTGTTTGAATATATGGATATGGACCTGAAGACGGTTCTTTACCAGCTTTACAAAGGAATGGCTTTCTGCCATGGCCATGGTGTTTTGCACAGAGATTTGAAGCCCCACAATCTTCTGATGGACTGCAAGACATCAATGCTTAAAATTGCTGATCTGGGGCTTGCCCGAGCATTCACTTTGCCTATGAAGAAGTACACTCATGAGATATTGACCCTCTGGTATAGAGCTCCTGAGGTTCTTCTGGGTGCCACTCACTATGCAACAGCAGTTGATATGTGGTCTGTTGGTTGCATATTCGCTGAGCTAATCACTCAACATGCTCTCTTTCCTGGAGATTCTAAGTTGCAGCAGCTACTGCACATTTTCAGATTGCTGGGTACACCAAATGAAGAAGTATGGCCAGGGGTGAGCAAGTTGGTGAACTGGCATGAATACCCCCATTGGAAACCCCAACCACTTTCATCTGTTGTCCTAATCAAGATGGCCTTAACCTTCTGGCGGAGATGCTGCATTATGAACCATCAACAAGAATTTCATCAAAGAAAGCTATATATGGAGCATCGTTATTTTGATGATCTTGACAACAAGTCGAGTCTGTAGCCTGTAGGGGGTGAGCAAATAACTGACAAAACCGATAAAACCGAAAACCGATATCCGAACCGACCGAAAAAGTCGGTTATCGGTCGGTCATCGGTTATTACATATTAAAAGAAGTCGGTTATTCGGTTAACGGTCGGTTATTATAATCGGTTATCGGTCGGTTAACCGAAAATCGAAGTATAGTCTACACCGTATAAACATTTGCATGTACTTCATGTATGCTATGATGTTTCACTTAATAACATATCATAAATACTCTAAGAAATAATGTCAAATATATGACCAAATTGAATTTTATGGATACATATACGGAGTATGCCTTTTCATACTTTAATAACTAATTGTAATTTTAATGTGCATAATTGTGTTCAATTTTATACTCCCTCCGTCCCACTATGATTGTCTCATTTTACTTTTTCGGTCTGTCCCACTAAGATTGTCTCATACCTTATTTGGTAAAGTTTGTGTGGTTCTAAATCATTTCTACTTTATTCTTACTTTATCAATTCAATATCAACCACATAAACCCACTTTTATTAATAACCGTGCCACCTTTTCTTGTCCCAAACTTAGGGGGACGGAGGTAGTATTATACTCCGTAGTAATCATGAATGGTATACTCATGTTAACTTTAGTCATATTTAAGTTTACTTTATTATGTAGTACGATAGTAATATTTAAGGATATCCCTCGTGTTGTAATAAATTTCATGTATTTAGGATGTTTTTAATTACTTGGACAGTAATTTGTTGGTCTGATCTGGTTTCTTTGTATTCTATAAATATTCATGTCTGATCTGGGACAAATTACAGTTCAAGTAAAAACATCCTTAGTATTTAGTGGTTGACCCAAAAAGATAAAATGACACTCATGCACAAGTAAAGCTACCAGCAGCGTAAGAAAACTAATTTTATTATTAGATAATTTAATTCATTTTTTCTTATTTATTTCATGAATGGATAAAAAGCATTTATATGTGAGCAATTATTTCATTCATTTGGTTTTGTAGTGTAAAAATATCAATTATTTTCATCCAACTTTGTATCAAATATTTTTTCTAATATGTTTATTTAAAGCATTCAAAATTTTCAAAAAAATATGCTTAAAAAATTTATATGGTCGGTTATTGTCGGTTATTCGGTTATCGACCGAAATCAAACTACATTTTCCGGTCGATTATAATGATGTTATCAGTCGGTTTTCGGTCGGTTATTAGAGTGAAAAAGCTTGGTCAGTTATTCGGTTATGGACCCGATGATGACCCCTACTTAGGGGTGCAAATGAGCCGAGCCGCTCGTGAGCCGCTCGTGAGCCGCTCGGTCAAAGCTCGGATCGAGATCGGTCAAACTCGAGCTCGAGCCGAGCTCGAGCCGGCTCGTTAAGCAGTCGAGCCATAAACGAGCCTACTGATTTTAGGCTCGCTAGCTCGCGAGCCGGCTCGCGAGCCTAGTTATATGTGTATTTAATTAATATATGTAATATATTAATATACTATACAAATTAATATATAATACGGAGTATATATTAGTATATGTAATATACGAAGTATAATATAAATTATTTTTTTTATAAGTTAATATATATATATATATATATATATGTATATATATATATATATATATAATACTGATTCATAAATGTATATGAACACCTGGGAGATATTATTAATTATAAAGTAATTTAACAAAAATAATCAAAATTTCATCCACTATTTCTTAATGAGTTGACCACTTTTGATTTATATTAGAACTTAGAAGTACAATTGGGTAGAGACTTGAAGTTAGAATTATATTTTGTTTATTTTCCCGTAAGGTTTAGTTGTTGGGCATGTAAATTGCAATTTGCAAATGTTAAGCACAAATATTTAAAGATTGTTTCATACTTGAGCTCGAGTTCGAACACGAACTTTCGAGCTAATCGAACTTGTAACTTTTGAACGAACCAAAAGTATCTAGCCGAACCGAGCCGAGTCGAGCCAAATCGAGTCAAATCAATATTTGCGAGCCGAGCTCGAGCCCAGATATTTTAAGCTCGTTCGAGCCGAGCTCGAGCTCGAGCCAATACAATATAATTCGAGCTCGAGCTCGAGCCTACATAAACTCGGGCTCGGCTCGGCTCGTTTGCACCCCTACCCCTACTCTTTGAGGCAAATTTCAATTTGTCATCAAACATCTTGAACTTTGAAGCGCGTCTGCTTGACGGCCTTTAAATTTAGACCACCTGCATTATTAACTCTTTTTATATGTAATGATAATGATAAAAGAAGGTTATTGGTTAGAGCATCTCCAATGGTAAAATGTGCACGGTGCACACGTGGCATGAGAAATAGCCACATAAATATTAATAAATAAATTCTTTCTCTCCTTATTTGAATGATTTTATACAGTTTTGGTAAGTTTTTCTCTACAATGTCAAGGAGACCGTCTAGATGTTGACATTGTTGTTGACATTGCAGGGAAAAACTTACCAAAATTGTATAAAATCATTCAAATAAAGAGAGTAATAATTTATTTGCTAATATTTATGTGGCTATCACTCATGCCACATGTGCACCGTGCACATTATAGCATTGGAGATGCTCTTATTCAAGGGGCATCAAGAAAGAACTGAAATGGTGAAGGCTTGGGATTTGTGAAGTGAGCATTTATTTGACACATTTCCTTCTCCAATAAAAAAAAATACTTGCACTAACTTCCAATATTACAAGATAAATTGTATTCAAGAAATTTACAAACATTTTTGCCTTATCCCAATTTTCCTTTGTTGGTGGGCCAACTCTCCCTTTTCTCACCACTTCTTCCCCATCTTCGTTGATAATCCCCCCCCCCCCTCCCTCCCCAAAGAATAGTATATATTGGACTAATCATATTCATACATTCTTTCAAAAGCATTTTTAAAATTCAAACAAGAATCAAGTATCATGTCATTTGTCATTCATGTGTGTGCTATTTCACCCAGTGATCCATAACAATTAGTTCCCTACTATCCAACTCCTCATTCTCCAAATATTTTGTTTGAAGTAACTCAATAAGTGACCTCCGTGGACTTATCTTTCAAAGATCACAACATTTCTATGAGTCACCAGACACATATCTAATTTTTCAACCCATCTTCCATAACCAAGTTTAAAATACGAGTGATACATCTCACATGCATAAAACTTCCCATTCTATCGATCAATGGTTGGTTGACCCCCTTTAGCGTTGAAAACGATTTTTGATAAATAGTTGTTCGCTCCTAGCGTTTTTGGATGAAATCGCTAAAATGGAAACGCTACAAATAGGAGAGAGATTTGGATTAAGTTTTGAAATATGACGTTTTCTACTTATTGCATGTTATGACCAAACAGCTAAACTTACATTTTTGAATGACAGATTCAGCGGCTACTTTATTAGCATATTTGCATCATCTAAAAATATTATAATTATGAATATGGGTTATTATCCCTAATTTGTGTCAATTTTTTATGCATAAAGGCTTGTACATTCACCGCGTAAGGGGCAAAGAAAGCAGAAAAACACCTAAAGAAATCGAAAAACATCACAATAAGGGGCAAAGAAAGCAGAAAAAAGGATTGACAACGAGAGAGTAATTACCAGAACACAGTTCAGCGAGAAACGGAGAACCGGAAAGGAAAGATATCTGTACGGTTGGCACCACAAGCGGGAACAATGGGCAGGTCGGCAACGTTAGGGCGCGGAGTCGCGGACGGGCCAGCTGTGTGACCGCAAGTTTAAGGAAACGGAAGGTGTTACGATGATAACGGAGGCAGATGGATTGGAGAGGGCAATTGGACGGAAATAAAACGGATAATTCTATTTCTTTTAACAGAGTACATATGGTAAAACACATGGTATCATCTCATTAAGCTAAAAGATTACACCAACATTTTTTTCATCCCTAAAATACCCTAACCCTCATTGACAATTATAAGATTTTAAGATTAAGAAACTACATCTTTGTAATTTATACTTAGTGCTTTATGAAATACTCCATAATTATATATTCATGATTAAAATAAAAATTATATATAAAAATGTGACTAGGGTAGAGAGTATTAATGTAATCATGGTAATTTATGTTAAAATTTTAAACTTAATTTATGATGACACTACATTGCAATAACTATTACTCATATTTATATAAATAATTTTTATTTTGATAATATTTTTGAAAAAAAAAACTACTCCCTACTTTATACACAAAGGTCCATAAGTGAAGGATCGGCCAGAATTTACCAAACGTAAAAACACGTCCAAAACAAACACCAGCTTCATTCTTCCAAATAAAAAATCAAAAGCTCTAAATTCTTTCGCTGGGTTGTAACCTGCAAACAAAGTGTTTGGCTAAACGCCCTTTATTTACTGTGTGTACCTTTTCCACTGCAAACAAAGGTTAGAATACACCTATTTTCTGGTAATATTCCATTCATGGCTAGATTCTATGCGTTTAGGTTTCCTCTTTCTGAAACAGATATTCATGTTTTTTGGGTGAAGGGTAGGTGTTATTAAGTGGTTTATGTAGGTTAAGAATGTCCAAAAACTCCAAAAGTGCTATTTCAGACTGCTGGAAATTAGAATTAGACTTAGATAAATATCATCTTTAAGAAAAAGAGTTGGCCTACATTCTATTCATTTAGCGTTTCACTCTCTGCAAATAATTCACTTCTACAATAAGCCTTCTAATAAGTTGAAAAGATCTGTAAAATGTGAATTCTACTACTTCAATATTTAATTTTGCATTTAAGTATTCTTTAAAATACAAAATTTTCGGATTGACATGGGAAGAACTTATCACACATCTGTTTTCTAAACTGTGAAATAAACACACCTTCACACTCAGGGGAGAAAGCTAGCGACCAATTATAGTTAGGGGATGTGGAAATTAGATTCAAAACTTCTTCATCTTCGTAATTTTGTCACTTTAAACACATTTGCTATTGTTAATAAAAAGTCTGTTTCGTTCTTTGCAATTTTGCTGCTATTAGGATGTTTTCTTTTGGACTGAAATTTGCTGGTCTGGTCTGGTCTGATTAAGTCTGGTCTGGTCTGAACTCTGAACTGGTCTGGTCTGGTCTGGTAAACGTCTGGTCTCTGTGTATTTTATAACTATCCAAGTCTGGTCTGGTCTGTTTAAGTCTAGTCTGGTCTGGTCTGGGACAGAAAACAGTCCAAAAGAAAACATCCTTAATCGTTGTAGACTTAGAAATTTGCAACTTTGTTGTTTCAATTTTCTTGTTGTCGCTATTTCGTATTTTGCATTTTTTAGGTCTAGTAATATATTTCATGGAACTTCAGGCACTGAGTCACACATTACAGGTTACAAGTTTACAACTTGTTAATACGTTGTATATATTAGGTGGAGTTAATACGTTGTATATATTAGGTGGAGTAAATTTCTTTCACACATTTTTTATTTGTTGTATATTTTTCTTATGTTAACTAATTTAATTATTATGTTTTAATTGGATTGATTATAAATTACTATTAGCTACCAATTTAAGTAACTATATATAGCCGTTAAGGTAATTCTGATTGCTCTGTGTTACTTTGTGAAGTTTTCTTTGACCACCATCACACCATGTATCAAAATCATCAAGATTTTTTTTGGTGAAGATCGTGACACCTCACTTAAAGCTCATGACTTGCAGGTATTCATAACGCCAAGGGATGGAGTTCACAACTTGTCTTAAATCCAACTTTAACCAACTATCAACTTTTCTACACCAACCGATTAATCGCCAGAACACTCACTATCGCCGTTTTTTAGCTTCGCTCTACACTATGACTGCTAAATCTATGCACTGCAGAGCCACTGCCGAAATGCAAAGCAAGAGCGGCTCATTTGGAACCATCGAAAAGGTAGTACCTCTAATAATCGTACCCAACATGTACTCTGATTTTTTTTGAGTACTCGACCTTAATATTACAGAAGTTAAATATACGTTTTTTTTCATCTTATTTATATTATTTTGATAAATGTCACCATTTTACTTGCTCAATTGTAAATTTACTACTTGAACACTTCTGTAAATTAGGGAATATGAATATGATGTGCAGGTGAAATTTTTATTTAAGACATGCTCGTATAGAGCAACGTTAAAATCACCCTCAAATTGATGAAGCTATCTACTTTCAGCACTTAATATAGTTGCTTCAAAAAGTGTTCTTTTTTTAACCAGGTCAAACCAATCTCTGGTGATCATTCCTCTGATCTGGCATTATCAAGTTTAGCAGCTCTATGCCCATTAGATGGCCGCTATTGGGATAAAGTTAAGGATCTGGTTCCATTCATGAGCGAGTATGGCCTCATTCGCTTTCGAGTCCTAGTTGAGGTGTTCCACACTTCCACTTTCTTCGATTGTTTTTGAGTGTTCTGTTCTATGCATGAATGCATGATTGATGAACATTGATGTATGCGTGATAATAATACAAAAGAGTAGTGTAAAAGAGTTAATAGAAAATAAAGAATAAAGAAAAACATCAGCATTGCTTTTTCAAATATGAAGTAATGTTTGCTGTAAGCCTGTAACTTTCTTTGTTAACATAATACATTCCATCCTTCCAGAAAAAGGCAGTTGTACAGTGCAATTCTACCCTTTTAAACTTGAAAAGTTGTACTTTGGTGAAATGTGCCTCTCTTTTTATGGTCTCGAGTTGGTAATCTTAACAATTGGATGACAAAATCATAAAATATGCTTCTCTTTTTAATGCCTGGGCTGCAAGTATGATTACTTCTATATGATACCTTTAACCTCTTTATTGAGACTTTTTATACACAAATGTGGTTCAATTTATTACCAAACTTCAAATTTTGTTCATTCACGAAGTGTTTGCACCACAACCATTATCTTTTGCAGTAGCTTTTTGTCTTCGCTGTAGGCTATGTTTGGATGACCATCTCAAAATGAGTTGAAATTTGATAGATCTAGACATTTAATTGACATATACACTTATTTGGATGAAGAGCTGAACTTGATAGGATCTAAAACAAATCTGCTGATTTGAAATGTTATCAATTGTAGTGTTTCAGTTCAGCCCTTTAATTTACCACTAGCTTATAGCAACTTTACCCTCCCGTTATTCAAATTTATCTTGATTATATTAAAATATTTATATTTATGGGGTAATCTTAAATTTTTAGTCGCTATTTCAGTTGTGTAGTCAAACAAATCTACTTCATTCAACTAGCATTTCAGTTTCAGAATATTCGGACAATAGACTCAAGCTTCAGCTCGTTTTTCCAAACATTGCCATAGTCTATATTCTATAAGCATTTCACTTTTAATGTTCTTATAAAAAGTACACTTATCTTCATTGTTGTTATCAGGTTAAATGGTTGCTAAAGCTTTCAGAAATTCCTGAAATCCCTGAAGTTCCTAGTTTTTCTTTGGGAGCAAAATCTTATCTGCATGGCTTGATTGATGGATTTAGCTTGAATGATGCAATGGAAGTCAAGGAAATTGAGAAAGTAACTAACCATGATGTTAAAGCAGTGGAGTATTTTCTTAAACAAAGATGCCAATCACATGGAGAAATTGCTAAGGTACATTAAGTTGTTACATGGTTTTATGTGTGTATGTGATAGGAGCGTGTTTCACTCTTAATATTGTTGTTGTTGTTGTTGTTGTTGTTATTATTATTATTATTATTATTATTACAGAGTATTATTGTTATTATTATTACTAGTTTCTTCATCTTATTATTATTAGTAGTGGTTTCCTATTGGTATATTTATTCTAGTTTAGTTCATATTCTTAATAACAAAATTCAAATAGGTTTAAATTTCCTCTAATACTGGTCTACCAGGACTCTTGGAACTAGTAACCTAGTATAAATTGAGGTGCTCCATTCGTTACTAATAAGATCAATAATGTTGGATTCATTCCTTGAGTCTTGACATGATTCGGACGTCACCGTCTCGTGCCTAGGGCAGAACAGTTCTTCATCTTATTAATTTCAGTTTTTATCTATCTCTCAACCACACCTCTAATAGTATGTGTGTGTGCGTGCATGTGTATGTACACACGTATATATGTATGTATGTGTATACACGTCTAAATACATAAATACACACGCACATAATATATGTATGCACACGCACAATTTAATGGATGTGTTATACAAATTTGGCATATCACTATCTACTATTTTCACAAATCTGATAGTTTTGCTTGATGACTGAACTTTTGCAACCTTCCAGTATATACCTGGGAAATAAAATTTGTATAATTTATATAAATTTAATTTCCTGCAGCTGTAATTTTTTTTTCCTCTGTATTGTATTCATATTCCTAGGTGCTTGAATTTTTCCATTTTGCGTGCACTTCTGAGGACATCAACAATCTAGCACATGCATTAATGCTAAAAGAAGCTATTAATAGTGTTATATTGCCAGCCATGGATGAGCTGATTACTGCAATCACTGACATAGCCACATATACTGCACATGTCCCAATGCTTTCTAGGACCCATGGGCAGGTAATCACTTTTGCGTCCATCCATTTTTACTGTGCTCATATTTTGTGGATTGTCTTAGATAACCTAAGCATTATAAAGATATTCAGTGTTCACTAAATCATGAAAAATATTCTGATCTTAATGTTGTAGCCAGCTTCACCAACAACACTAGGAAAGGAAATGGCTATTTTTTCATATCGGTTATTTAATGAGAGACGTGAGATTTCACAAGTTGAGATGCGAGGGAAGTTTGCGGGTGCAGTTGGAAATTACAATGCACATATAGTTGCATATCCTGATGTTAACTGGCCACAAGTTGCCGAAGACTTTGTAACATCTCTTGGCTTAAGCTTCAATCCATATGTTCCCCAGGTATTATTATGAAAAAGATCTTGTGGCATATTGTTTTACAAGCTTTTCATTCCGGAGAAGATCTTTTTATTTGACACATGCCACAATGCATTGCTAACATAAAGGTACTTGCAGTTCTGATCTTTTTCTAGTGGACTGTCAATATGAGTATCTTCATTATATATGATGAGACTCCTAGATGCTCAGAGTTATGCATTTTGATTCACTTCTGTTAGTCCTGTATGTATTAGGGAGCATAGGTATAGCTGTTTGACCCATTGAATGTGCCTTCACATAATGCAAGTTTTGCAGAAGGAAGCTGTCTGCCTGTATGGTACCTTACATCTGCTTTCGATACTGAAGTCATTTTATGGGCCTGATCATATGACTTATACCAAGGCCAAGATTTTTATGCATAATGCATATCCCGGTGCTTATGGAAATGGAACCCATTATGATTATGCCTAGTGGTCTTTTTTACATACTTGGAATCATTTATCAATTGAAAGTGAATCTTAAGATAATGATAAAATTTCTATTGATGAAATAGGTTTGATGGTTTAAATCACTGAAACATCGTATATGCAGAAGCAAGTTTAAGGTCTTTGAATATTTTGGTGATACACTGATACCTCTCCTTGGGCCTTGTTATTCATGGGCTTTATGAATTTCATTTACACTTTAACATTGTAGACCAATTTATTCATTACTTAATTTGAGACATTTATACCAGTTTACACGTTAGATCCTTGGGCTATTCTGTCTTGTCATAATTGATGGTTGCTCAGTTGGCACGACCATAAGTTAACTTCATGTTTTGGTTAACCTTGTGAATTAGTTTAATTCTAAGTTTTTCTAATGATGCAGATTGAAACTCATGACTACATGGCAAAGCTGTTTCATTCGATTATCCAATTCAACAACATTTTAATCGATTTTAATCGAGACATTTGGGGATACATTTCATTACGATACTTCAAACAGGTATGTTCTCCATAAAGTTTGGTGCTATAATACCACTTGCGCTGTCCTATTTTATGTGATACATATCTTGTTCATCAATAAAACTAACTTTTCTTTTGTCTTTATTTTCTTCAACAAATGTTTAGATTTTTTGATCACTTATTTTGTGTTTAGTAATAGAACATTTATATACTATGTAAGTTTTAATTATATCATTTTCACTGATGAAAACTAAACTGCATATCATAATAATTTCAAACTAGCTTGATCTATTCTCATATTCTACTTGCTCAACTCTTTTTGAGAGGGAGGGATTCTATAGGATCTTCAACATAATGAAGAAGTATTAACCATTTCAAGTCTTAGCAGACAACCAAAGCTGGTGAAATTGGATCTTCAACAATGCCTCACAAAGTGAATCCCATCGATTTTGAGAACAGCGAAGGGAATCTTGGAGTTGCTAATGGAGGCCTATCACATCTAAGCACAAAGCTGCCGATATCACGGTGGCAGGTATATATCCACTTTCTGTTTTTATTATCAAAGCTATTCTGATTCAGCGATTTAATGTGTTTGACATGAACATCCTCTGAATTTACAATTTTTTCTATGTTGAGATCTTTTGAACTCTTATCATGAGATTTTAGCTTTCATAAACACTGAATATAGAAAACCACCTCGAACAGAGCTCATGAAAGAATTTGAAGATGTACATACATGAGAAGTTGGGTAGGGAAGATATAATTAATTTTATCCAACATTTGTCTTTTGTTAGGAGGAAATGACCAGGAAGTTGGGGAGGAGGAGGATCTTGTTTGATTTGAAATTTAAATGAGCTTCTATCTTTGGGAATAAATGGATTCCAAATTGCATGTACATGGTTTAAACTGTTTATATTATCTTTTCATTGTTTCATTTTAAGAACTGTTAGAGAACAATTGGATTTATGATGCTTCAGTACCTTAGACCAACACCTATTTTAGATTTTTAACAGACCTGTTATGTAATAGTTAAATTTTTCTATTGTTGCTTTGGTTCACTTAGCCCTCAAATTTCCGTTGTGTTCCTTTTATAATTTCATTTTCTATATCTTTTGTTGTGCAGAGGGATTTGACGGATTCTACGGCTCTTAGAAATATGGGAGTAGGATTGGGGCATTCTCTTCTTGCTTATAGAAATGCATTACGGGGAATTTCAAAGCTTCAGGTAAAAATTATTATTACGTTCTTGTGTTCTGTTTGAGTATTCTGATGGTTTAAAAGTGCACTTAATTCATGGTCAATGACTTTGCTTAGGAAAGGGGCTGGGAGAATTTGTAATTAGAAACCGAGCTTTTTACTAAACAACAAAAATTGAAAAAAATTGAATAGTGTAAGAAGATAATAAGGGCTCCATAATTCAAAAGGACGGTGAGCTAGATGGAGATGTATCCCATAAAATCAGAATAAGGTGGATCATGGATGAAATGGAAGAGTGATGATAGGTAACGGAAAATCGCAGAAGATAATCGAAGTATATTTATGAAGACTTGATAGGAACCCACTTATATTAGACTAATAATAGAAGTATTAATACTACCTCCGTCCCTTAAAACTTTGCCACGTTTGACCGACACGGGGATTAATAAAATAAAAATTGTGTGGTTGAGGTTTGTGCAGAGGAGAGAGAATTAACTGGAACCATAAATTCTTTACTAAAAAGAGAAAGTGGCAAAGTTAGTGGAACATCCAAAAAGGGAAAGTTGGCAAAGTTTTAAGGGACGGAGGGAGTAATAATATTAGTAATAAGGGTCTGAGTACCCTAGTATAAATAGACGGGTAAGGGAGTTAGAAAGAGGGCTTTTGGACTGTTTAGTCTTGGGACTGGGAAGATCGAGTGTTTGCTCTTTCTTTGGGGGGCTTCGGCTCAATTGGGGGCTTCGGCCTTTGTTCTTGTTACTGTACTGTTCATCTTCTTCTCTAATAAATTTCAGTTGATTTCTTGTTAATTTCCTGTCAATTGTTCTGAATAATTGGAGGATCCTATCATTGGTATCAGAGCCTTCGATCGCTGGTTGAGATACTCGCGCGCAAAATGGAAGGGAGAATTAACGACCTGGAAAGAAAACAAAAAGAAACATCGGCAAAAGTGGCGACGATGGCAGCGACTTTGGCAATCATAAAGACGGACATCGCAAAGCTGGAAAATAAAGTCCAGAGTCGCTCGCGGAACAGATCGCATGTGTCAAACGCATCGCATCGCGACTCTCATCATCGCAATTCAAAGGATTCTGAAGAGCAGAGGCTGCGAAGGAGAACTGAAGATCGATCGAGCAATTATAGACATCATCCGCCATCGCAGAGGGAGTCACAGACGAAATCGCCAACTTTCTCTCTAAGTTCTCAATCGGGAACTCCTTCTCAGAGTTCGCAGATTTTCTCACTGGCCAGCAGTTCACGTTCAAGAAAGACACAATCGAAAGGAGAGTCTTCTTCTTCACCAAAGGATTCTCACAGTTCACCTTCTTCGTCAAAAGTCAATTCTCGGAAGTCAGCTATTTCAAAGGAGGAATTACCTCTATTCTACGAGCATGAAGCATATGAATGGATTGGGAGGATGGAAAGATATTTCTGAGTCCAAGCTATTGCAGAAAGATTTAAGGTGGACGTGGCAGCAAAGGCTATGGGGGAAGAAGCAGATGGCTGGTTTCAATGGTGGGATTTTCAAAAGAGAGAAGACAGTTGGGAGGCACTAAAAGATGATTTGATTAGGGATTTTCCACCTAGACACCGGCAGAAGACAGGGAAGACGGCAAAACAGGAGTCATCCAAGTCACGAAGAACTTCCAGTTAGCAATCTTCTAAGTGAATTAATGTTACTCCATGTTTGAAATCGAGTACCGCTTTACCCAGCTCGCTAATTAATCATCATCTTCGATCGTCATCAGAAGGAATTTTTACTGATTTGCAGATGTCATCAAAACTTTTGTCCCAGGTTTCCGAATCAAGATGGAATCCGGCTGAACCATCCGTTTCAAATGAACCTGTAATCAAGATGAAACCAACTGAACCTGTAATCAAGCAAAGGAATAAGGAAGATGAATTCAGGGAGGAAAGAGTCCTAATGGTTCCTGAAAAGTCTGATCCAAAGATTCATAAGGATCATGTTTATCTTTTTTCTGAAGAATCTGCTATCACCCGGGGAAACCGCACACAGATTAATGCTGCTGATAAATCTAGCCATGGCCAACACCTTGAATTACAACAAGCAGAATTACAGCCATGGGTTGAGAGCATGTTAGACTACCCCAAGCCTGACTTACATAATTCCCTTAGAGTACATGAAAGTTATCAATTGTTGGGAGACATCTATGCAATGACAGCTCATAACCTATTACTTCCTGAGGTTTATAAAGTCTTCACAAGGTTTTTACAGAGGTTGAACCCAAAGAGTTACCAGCTGACTCCTGTTATTAGGGCTCCTGGTAGCATACAGCCTTTGGATGTTCACATTTTACCTTATGTTAGGCAAACCATGACAACATCGTGAAGAATTGGTTATTGATTCACCAGATCTTCTGCCACTATGGTTGAAACCTTTATCAATTGATGACGTCAAAGCTGTGAGCGGAGTTTCTTGTGATCCTAATACCAGGATAAGTATTCAAAGCAAGAAGCAGGAACTATGGGAATGGAGAGGAATTTCAAGGGTGAAAGAAATGAAGATGAATGGTCAAGTATTGATGCTGATGGGTGCAGTTTACAAAAGGAATGGGCCTAGTCTTAAGTTTGATAGAAGGGAGTGCAATATCATGGAGCAAATGCTACTTCGGGATCAGGATTGGGGAATACAATTGGAGATTGTTGAATTCATAAATTCAAATATAGAAACACAGTATGACTCAAGTTCTCTTGAACCTTCTTCTGACATGTGTGTGAATGAAGTTCTGCATGAGGTATTCAGTGTGAAGTTTCAATCAAGAGATAGGGTGAAGTCAGAAGCAAATGCTATGCTGAGGCTGGTCAGGAGTTTTTCATATAGAGGACTAGAAGTTTGGAAAAGTATGACACCACCACCAGCTAGATATTGGGAGGGAGAGGCACCCGGAGGAAGCGGAATTCCAGAATTGGTTCCTATCATCCCACCTTGAGGACAAGGTGGTTGTTTAGGGAGGGTGTATTGATAGTAACCCACTTATATTAGACTAATAATAGAAGTATTAATAATAATATTAGTGATAAGGGTCTGAGTACCCTAGTATAAATAGACGGGTAAGGGAGTTAGAAAGAGGGCTTTTGGACTGTTTAGTCTTGGGACTGGGAAGATCGAGTGTTTGCTCTTTCTTTGGGGGGCTTCGGCTCAATTGGGGGCTTCGGCCTTTGTTCTTGTTACTGTACTGTTCATCTTCTTCTCTAATAAATTTCAGTTGATTTCTTGTTAATTTCCTGTCAATTGTTCTGGATAATTGGAGGATCCTATCAAGATTTAATAAAGGAAAACATAAAACAACGTAAGAAAAGGTTGAGACTCTTCGAGTGGTCTCACACTCCCATATTCCCAGTCCGATCCCAAAATTCTGCCTGCCCATCTACTCACCACTCACCCTTATTTATTCTATTCCTAATGGGCCAGCCCACTTTTATTTAGTTATAGGGCCTAAAACCCTATTATTGTGTTAGGGATCTACCTATTAGATTAATAATAATAATAATTCTAATAGGAATACTAGAAGAATAGACACTGTTTAGTGGGCCTGTTATTTTGGGCCTATTATTATAGAGAATAATAAGAGGGCTTATAGCCTTATACTATAAATAGAAAGGGGAAGGAAGGCATAAGGAGGCTTTTAGACATTTGGTCTTGGGACTGGGAAGGATACGAGACTGAACATCTCGATCTTTTGGGGCTTCGGCTTTGGGTGGCTTCGGCCTTTCTGTTCTCTTTCTGTAATCGATACCTTCATCAATAAAGTTTTTTTCTACAGTTTCTTGATAATCTTTACTGAAATTGTTGTGAATTCTGGAGATCTCTATCATATTGACAATATTAAAATTACTTAAGAAGACTCTTATTATTTGTAGTGTCCGGTCCCTAACATCACTCCCCCCTTGAACTTCCACCTTGTCCTCAAGGTGGATGATAAGAGACTGTTCTGGCATTTGGTTTCAGCTGTCTTTCAACTTCATACAGTTCATATAGCTGATCTTCTGTTCCCTTCTCTTCTTCTGGCTCTTCCATCAAGACAAAGTGATAATGTTTCATTCCACAAGCATGTTCTTTACTCCATTTGTTTCCACATTTGAAGCATAAGCCCTTTTTACTTCTTTCTTCTAACTCTGCTTGTGTCAACCTTTGGCTTCCCTTCCATGTCTTATTCGGTTTGGGTGATTCCTCTAGTTTGTTCTCTGAATGAATTCTCTCTGGAGTCATAGCAGGTGTTCTTCCTTTTGTTGCTTCCACGCAGTTCAAGGGTCTAACCATTTTCCCTCCCTGTTCCTTCCAGCCTTTTTTGTCTTCTTTACTTTTTCTCCTTTCCACACCATGTTCTTCTTCTCCAACAACAAAGCCTTGTCCATCAGTTCAGTTAACCCACTGGTCTGGAACAACTTCAGACCAATCAGTTAATTTCTTCTCTAAGGCCATTTAGAAACACTCCCTTTAACATCTCTTGGTCAGCAAGTTTGAGAGGAGCTACAACCATTTCAAAGTGATCCCGGTACTCCATTACTGAATCAGTTTGCCTAATACTGAGCATAGGTCCATACAGGTTCTGTACTAAGGCAGGTTGGAAACGCCGGATCAAAGCCTCTTTGAAGTTAACCTAAGAATGGTCAGCTGTCTGTTTATCCCACCATTGGTACCAGTTCAGAGCTTTTCCGGCCATGGCTATCATAATTGTTTCTACTTTGTCACCCTCAAATACATGATTTAGTTTAAAATAGCGTTCAACCCTGATAAGCCATCCATGAGCATCGTCTCCGCTGAACAACGGTAAATCCACCTTTCTTCCCGTATAAACCCGATTGCCGATTCTCGTATCATCAGGAGTGCGTGAAACAGATCGAGAATCATGAGGGTGACATCCGGAATTGGACGAACTCACACTGGCGGAAGTCTGGCGTCGACGATTGGTGGTCGATCGTCCCCGTCTTCTGCTGCGACTGCCCTGGATTTTGAGACTTTGCATCTTTTCCAGTAACACCTGCACTTTCTCGTCAAGCAAGGCT